GGCAAGTGCAGTCCCAAGTTCAAACCCCAGTACAAAAAAAAAAAAAAAAAGAGAGAGAGAGGCCCATTTTCACCACTGCTATCCAACAGTATAGTAGAAGTTCTAGGCTGAGCAATTATGCGATAAAAAGAAATATAACACATCCAGATTTGTAAAGGAAGTAGTAAAATACCTCTATTTACAAATAATATGAATATTGGGTTTGACCCCTGGTACTATAAAAAAAAAAAAAGACTATAAGTCTAAATTTAGAACATCCAAAAAGTTCACAAAAGACCTAATAGATCTAATAAATTTAGTAAATTTACAGGTTACAAGACCAATATGTAAAACTTAGCTGTGCTTTTATACACTAGCAGTAAGCAATCTGAAAAAGAAACAAAAACCATTCCATTTCCACTAACATACAAAAAATATATCAAAGAAAAAATTTAACCTAGGAGGTTAAAGACTTGTGCACTAAAAACAGAAAAAAATGCTTGAAATAAACTGGTAACACAAATAAATTGAAAGATATCTTGTGTTTGTAAATTAAAGATGGCAAAATATTGTCCAAAGGGAGCTACAGAAACCCTCAATCTTTTCAAAATTCTGATGATCTTTCTGCAGAAATGGAAAAACTGATCCCCAAATAGATACAAAGATAGGAGTTTTAAGTACTAGCAAAAATGAACAAAGAATAAAATTGGAGAACTCACACATCCCAATTTCTAAACGTGCTATAAAGCTGCATTACTCAAAGGATTATGGCATTGGCATAGGAATAGACATATAGAACAAATCTGGGAGTCCAGAAGTAAATTCACAAATATATACAGAAATGATGTTTGACAAGGGTGTCAGGACCATTCAACAGGGTATGAATAATCTCTTCATAAATAGTTCTAACACAACTAGATATCCACATCCAAAAGAAGAAATACGAAGCGCTGACACTAGCCATACACAAAAATTGCTTCAAAATGGGTCAACAGTTAAGAGCTAAAAACCATAAAATTATTTAAGACAAAAACATCAGAGTAATCTTCATGACCTTGGGTTTGGCAGTGGATTCTTAGGCGTGATACCAAAAACCCAAACAACCAAATTAAAAAAGAGATCACTCAGATTTTATCAAAGTCAAAACTTTTGTACATCAAAGGACATTATCAAGAAAATGAAAAAAGCAATCTTCAAAATGGGAGGGAATATTTGCAAATCACATTATTTAATAAGGATCTCATATACAGAATAAATAAAAATTCTTTCAACTCAGTAAGACCACATACAAGATAATTTTTAAATGGCCAAAGGATTTAAAAAGACATTTTTCCAAAGATGTACAAATGGTAAACAAGCACATGAAAAGATGCTTAATCTGTTATTATGAAACATAAATCAAAATCATACATACTTCATATCTAGTTGGAAGGTTTTAATCAGAAAGGGGGATAAATGCTGGTGACACTGAAATCCTCAAATATTTTTGGTGAAAATGTAAAACTGTTCAGCCACTTTGTAAATAAGTCTGAGAATTACTCAGAAGTTCACATTTGAGTTCTCATATGATCCAGCAATTCTACTTCTAGAGAACTGAAAATACCTCTACCTGAGAACTCATAGACGAATGTTGACAGCAGCACTGTTTATAATACCCCCATGGTGGAAACAACCCAAACATGATAAATCTGATAAATGGATAAACAAAATGTAGTACATGCTCACAACAGAATACTATTAAGCCCTACAAAAAAATAAAGCAACTTATGGGCTTGAGAATTGGGAGTTACTGGTATGGCTTTTAATTTGAAGTGGTTAAAATATTTTGGAAATAGATAAGGGTGATAGTTATACATTTAAGTTTATTAAGTCCCCTGAATTTTTATTATAAAATACTGTAGCTAATTTTATGTTATATGAATTTCAGCTTAACTAAAAAGGGAGAGACAGGAAAAGTTAGCATTTTGTTAAAGGGAAGTGAGGAAAGGAAAGTTTTGGGGAAGGAAATTTAAGAAGGGACAATCTTCTGGAAAGCAGCAGGGGAGCGATGTGCTTCGCAGAGCAGAGACAGGAGAGAAAGCGCAAGGACACCGGGCAGAGGAGAGAAGAACCTAGGGATTTCGAGTGCAATGGCGGAAGGGGGGTGGGTGTGGTAATGGCAAGTGATGGGCTCTGGGCGGAGGGATGAGAGAAAACACAAGGACACTGGTAGAGGAGAGAAGAACCTAGGGACTTCGAGGACAATGGCGGGGGGGGTAATGTTGGGGATGGGCTCCTTGAAGAGAAAGGAGACAAAAATGCAACAACGCC